TGTAGTAAGTAGAATGATGCATTCTAAATGGCTTCTCTGACTGCAAGTTAAGGCCTTCCTTATGGCCGACACATCCACAAACACACAAGTAAACAATGAAATGTTATAAATTTTTTTCTAAATCATTCAGTTTTTTTTTATTTTTGTAAATTAGTTGTCCAAACTTTGGGAATTATTTTCTTGGGCTAGTGACATGTGAAGTTTAAAAAAAAAAAAGGAAGAAGAAAACGCACCTTTTAGATGGGGGATATATATTAGTCAGCTTTCCGTTACTGTAACAAAACCCTGAGACAGTCAACTGAAGAAGAGAAAAGGGTTGTTTGGGCTCACAGTCCTGTTAGGCTTCAGTCTGTGGTTTATTGGCTGCTTTTGAATGTGTAGTGAGGAAACATTCCCTGACGGGGAGCAAAGTTGGTCACCATAGAGCCAGGAGAAAAAGAGGAAGAGGAAGGGGCCGGCAGGTCCCACTGTCTCCTTCAAGGGCACTCAGCTAGTGGTGAAGACCTTCTGCCAGGTCAGTGGTTCTCAACCTGTGGATCTCAACCCTTTAGGGGGTTGAATGAACTTTTTACAGGGGTCACGTATCAGATATTTACATTATAATTCATAACAGCAATAAAATTACAGCTATGAAGTAGTAATGAAAATAATGTTATGGCTGGGGGTCATCACAGCATGAGAAACGGTATGAAAGGGTTGCAGCCTTAGGAAGGCTGAGCACCACTGTCCTAGATGTTAATTTCTACTATCTCTCAATAGAGCCAGGCCCGGGGAGGACATCAGTGACCTCAACTATTGCAGAGAACAAGAACTCCTTTGAGTGCCACTATCCCTGAGTCCCAAGCACCTACCTGGCTTCTTTTACTGGCACAGCTTATTTGTCTGCTGTGGTCACTGAAGTCTCTGTCCCCTCTTCAGAGACATACTATGAGCTGAGTGTGTGGTTCCAGTACTCAGGATGCTAAGGCTCAGGGCTCACCTCATGTTCAAGGCCAGTTATAATAATGCAGATGGCCTAATCATACACTGTGTTCATCGTAGGTATCTGGTTGTGATGGCATCCGCCCTGTGGCTATGTAAGGTGTACCTACCTGGGAAAATTGGGCCAGGGCTGTGCAGGACCTCTTGCTATCTTATAACTTTCTGCAAATCTTTAACTATTTCAAAATAAAAATTTAAAACAATAACTGGGTTGGTTGTTCTTAGGAGTCAGTAGCCAGTGCCCCCTGGCCAGCACACTAGGCCTTTATCTTTCCAAGAAAGTATGAGTACATTCTTGCTTAAGATTTTCCACATCCTAGAGATGTGAAAGTGTTAATTTCCCACCAGGGCAAAGCCAGCTGGGAAAAACTGGCAGCTGCCAAAGATGTCCATCCAGTGAGCTGGTATGTTCCCCATGGCAATTCCTAAGCATGTGGAGCTTCCTGCATTTGACTCTGAAGCATGATCCTAGTTAGTCTTATCAATAAAAACCAGGAGTCAGATATCGGGATAATAACCTGAAAGATCAGAGAAGCAAAGGAGCAGCCACCAGCGACTTCCTACTGGATCATCTCTGGATCCTCTGACGGAATAGGGCGAGATCCTGTCTCCACCCACCTTATATTCCTGTCTCCACCTCCCAGTTGTGCTGGGATTAAAGATGTGACGCCACCTTTGCCAGGCCGCTATGGTTAACCAGTGGCTAGCTCTGCCCTCTGATCTCCAGGCAAGCTTTGTCAGAAAACAAACAACAGATCACACAGCATTTCTTCCTTCTTGTCTAAATACAGTAAGTACAATAACTATAGGCAAGAATTATGTTAATAATGTCTAGTCCATTTGCATTTGACAAATTCAGAGAAAATACTCCATTATCCTCTCTTGGTGAGTCCAAAGTATGGTACTTAATTCACTTTCTATTCTAACTTGCATTACCACATTTCTGTATCCCCCTTTACTTTTTATAATGAGATCCCTGAATCTAATCTCCTTTGTTCAGCTTTTTTCTTGACCATTACCAACTTGTACCTAACCCCCCTTACATGATGATAAATATCTATGACCCATCTTTTGGGAATGTGACTGGATCATCTCAGCCAGCAGCCTTGAAGCTGTTCTGGATGTAGAACTCAGAGGAACTGCAACAGAGGCACTCTGAAACATTGGATCATCTGGGCCATCCACTCCCATCAGAGATTCTTCAGGGGGTCTTCCCTAGTCAAACCTCTCATTTCCTGTGGAAATAAAAGCGAACCTCTTTCCCAAAGTAACATATCTTTTGACTTAAATTTTAAAGTCAAGATATTTTTTAAATATGTGGGTTGGTTTAATTTAATAGCTTTCACAAACAAATGTCTCTCAGCAGTTATCATTTGCCCATTAACAGTCAAAAAATCTAAAGACAATACAAAAAAATATAGAATCCAGACTCTGCATTTTCCATCTTTATGTGGCTTATCGTATTTTTTATTACTCTATTTTTAAAGGGACTTTCTCTATCCCAAGCCTATGTATATTTTTAAACACACTGTAACCCACTTAGAGGTTGTTTTTTTTCTTTTTTCTTTTTGTCTGAATCTGTCTTTACTGCATATCTCTCTTGTTTGCTGACCACATGAGTCTTTAAACTGTTAAGTGGCGTGAATAAGACCTCCATCTCTGCCCTGGCAACTGGCTCTGCCCTGCTTGGTTCCCCAGGAGCCCAGCTTCATGGCAGAGGCATTGGTGAGAGCCATGTTCACCTCCCCAGCTCTGGGGAGCTTCTGGGTCCATGCTGCCATTGAGTAGCATGTCTCCCACTGTTCATAAAGCCCATTGAAAGAGCTGTGTGGTTTTTGCTGCTGGCACTGAGTCAGGAAGCTGTCTCTTAAAGGAGGGAGCCTCTGCTTGCCTCTAACAAACATAGTCTACCCAAGAAAAAGCAGTTACCAAGAAGCTGAATTTTGACTCCATTTTTGTGTGTTTAGAATCCTTTTTAAAGCCTTTTCAGGCTTTATGTGGAAATTCTTGCTCCATGTTGGGTGCCATATGGAGCGTGATCGTAATTAGTCTTATCAATAAAAACCAGGAGTTAGATATCGGGATAATAACCTGAAAGATCAGAGAAGCAAAAGAGCAGCCACCAGTGACTTCCTACTGGATCATCTCTGGATCCTCTGATGGAATAGGGCGAGATCCTCTCTCCACCTGCCTCATATTCCTGTCTCCACCTTCCAGTTGTGTTGAAATTAGATGAGCCTTTCAAGTGCTGGGATCAAAGGCAGGAGCCTCCCAAGTGCAGAGATTAAAGTTGTGAGCCACCACTGCCTGGCCTCTATGGTTAACTAGTGGCTGGCTCTGCCCTCTGCCCTCCAGGCAAGCTTTATTTGTCAGACACAAACAAAGTATCACACAACATGACCCTGATGTTCTCTCTCCCCAGACTGATCGAAAAGAACAATGAAAAGGAAGTGCTGTCTTTATAGACTGCATTGTAGTGTGGGGCACTGGAAACAGATATAGGCAGTCCCAGGTTTTACAGCTAAATTAGTGTGAAGCATTACACTAAGGAATCTATTTCTATCTGTCAATAGACTGAATTAGTGCTTGCTGTGGTGCAGTTAAAGAGAATAGATTGCTTGCAGAAAGTGTGCATGCCTTGTAGTGGTTAGCCGCGAATGCTGTAGGCATGACAGTGCACACCAGGTTTGCTGTTGATTCCTGGAGTGGGTAGAGCTGGAGAAGATGGCAAGGAACATGGTTTATTTCCAGCCAAAAGTGTTAAGGGGACATGACAGGTTATTTCTTCCATAAAACATGCCCTAAGTATGGCAGGAGAGAGGAGAATCTTAATTGGCTTTATTTCAAGGTGTTGGGTTTTCAGCTAATTTCCCCCTCTTAAATGTGTTCTAATTGTTGGAATATTTTGCAATGAGTCTTTATTTGTGCAGTCATAGAAGAAATCTGGTTTTGAGCTCTTTTTATTGTGAAGACAGAACATTTCAGTGTGTTTAACGACACACAGAAGACCTGGGGTGGGAAGTGAGAGGCAGAAATAGAATGTGGACAAGGAGCCTCCTGTGGTTTAGCTGGTGAGAGATTAAATCTCAGTCTCTAGAAGGACTCAGGAAAATCTGTCTTGGAGACAGAGAGCTCTGGGTTTTACTGGTGACCGTGACCATGTGATCTTGTTCAGAGACATTATCTGTCTAACTCCTCTCTTACTGAACTGGGAGAATACGTCAGGTCCATTGTGAGTTTTACACAGATGATGGACTGATGAATGTAGATGTGATTCAGTGAGCTTATATGAGTCCAAGCTATGTGGTGGATATAATGGATGGATGCATTCATGTGTGATTTGGTGAGCCGACACGTTCAAGGTCTAAGCTATGTGGTTGATAGTGATGAAATGTCTGTTTCCTTTCCTGAAACCTCATGTCACATGATCAGCCAGTATACCTGGTGAATGGATTTGGGAGGTGGGTGTGGTTGTAGCCAAGTGTGCGTCTTCCATTGTATGATGTATGATCTTAGGTGGGTTTGGGATGTGGGGTTGGGGATGGATTTGGTCACTGGTTCCCTCCTGGTGTCTCAGTTTCCCCATCTACAAAGTGGGAGTTGTGCTCCTTCCTGTGATGGTGTATAAACACTTAGTTTGAGGCAAGTCATGTAATACACAGTAGCTGGTCCAGGTAAACTGTGTTTAGTGTGTGCCTCTGTCATTGGAGAAAATATTGTCAAGTGCCTGACCCAGAACGGCACTGGCAGGTTGGTGGGTTCGCATAGCACATGTTTGCATTCCAAGTCTGTAGGCACAGGAACCAGTTGGCATTCCACAGCATTCCAGAAGGAAAGTTCCAGAAGTGTGTCCTTAGTTACAGTCGTTTTCAGTGCTGATCTGTGATACAGGATAACACATTAGCATTTATAAGATACAAATTATGTGCCTTTTCTCACAGATTCCCTCCCCTGCTTAGGGTGGAAATTGTTAGTTTTTAAATTTGTTTTTTTTTTTTTAAACATTCTTGTACCTGCAGAGAAAACGAGGTGCTCAAAGTCCAGCTGAAGAAATATGTAGGAGCTGTCCAGATGCTGAAAAGAGAAGGTCAAACAGCAGAAGGTGAGGTGGACACAAGCCCATGGGGGAGGGACCGGCTGTCCCCTGGCAGGCTCTGGGAGTGGATGGACACATGCTCCAGGAGCAGAGAACTGGTGCTGGTGGGGTTCCAGACAATCGAGGTGGACAGAAAACTCTGCTGTATATTTTTGCTGAATGAAAACTAAGCCTCACTAGACTTAGCAAAGGTTGTATGATTTGGGCATTAGGGACTTTAGGTCTAGAATATTACGAGTCCTGTGCAGTGGTTGGTTCACATGAGGGGTGTAAGCAGCAGAGAGCAGGCATGGTGAAGAATCAGACTTCCCTGGACTTAGAGTCGCCAGGCTCGATCCCAGCTCTCTTGTAGTTTCTTATCTCTCTGTACCTCAGTTTTCTCATGTGTAAAATGGGATTTAGCACAGGATAGGTGCTGGGTAGTGTAAGCGATACAGCTTGGGTGGAAAGACATACTGGCAGTCAGGAGTCAGGGAATACCACTAAGACACTGCACAGCAAACCTCACACAGGAGATTTATTGGGAGGGAAAAAACCAGGAGGGTGGCTGCCTCTGCTTGGGTGAGAAACAGCAGAGAACTGAGCAGAAGACAGGGTTTATGTAGGGTTTCTTGTGTGTTGGGGGGAACTTTCCAGGGTGACCTAGGATTGTAGGGATTATGTGGCCTGATCTTGGGGCAAGTTCAGGGGGCCTGGCCACTTGCTTGCCTTGAGAGTTTACAAAGTTCACAAAGGGAGTATCTGCCCATGGCAGGGACGGGCTTCCTTGCTGCTTGAGTTGGCATGAATAGCCAACAGGTAATGTTTGGCTGTTGGTATTATTTAATATTTTAGTTTTGACAGTTTTATGCATATGTGCAATGTGTTGGGATCATATTCACCCTCCATCCCCTCTCTTACCCCCTCACTCCTGAAAACCGGTCTTCCCAGCTAGTACCCTCCTGTGTTTATGGACCCCCATAGCATATTTATATGGAGGCCAGGGGCCAACCTCTGTGGTGTTCCTCAGGAGCTGTCCACTTTATTATTAGAGGCATGGTATCTCACTGAACCTGGAACTCACCAATTGGCTAGACTGGACAGCTAGTGGGCTCCGGCATTTGTTTCCCCCTCCCCAGCATTGGGGTTATAAGCATATATCATGGTGTCAGGTTTTTGACACAGATGCTGGGGATTGAATGCAGGTCCTCATACATGCATGGTAAGCACTTTACCAACTGCACCATCTCCCCAGCTTGCTTTTGATTTGGAAAGCACAGCACTATGAGATGCATTTCTGAGTCAGGATGTTTGGAGCCCTTCTCCCCAAGTGCACAAGCAGAGTTCGTAGTGTACAGATTGCAGCTGAAGTTCCATTTCTCCACATGCAGCTTGAGTGCTCTGAAGCAAAACTGGATGTAAGGCTTTTCAGCATGCGCTTGTGATCACCCTTGCTGAATTGCAGTGAGATGACCAGCACAGTCTACTGCCAAGTAGCAGCAGCACCTTTCCGTGTTCTACTGTGTGGTGTTTTAAGACACACCACGTACCTGGGCATCCTCTCACACTGCAGGGCTGAGCTCAGTATTGGGCACACATCAGCTGCCCTGTTGTTGCCTATGGAGTCCTGTGATTCTCTGCTTTTAGTCACAATTATCAAGGAGCACCAGCGGTGTGCCAGCACCATGAAAACAGCCTTGCACTGTAGCCTAGGCCTGTAACCCCAACACTCAAAGCTCGGGCCAAAGGTTTGTTAGTTCAAAGCTAGCCTGAGTTGCATAGCAAGACTCCATTCCCAGTCCTCAGCCTTTCCCCCTGATTTTTGGCACTACAAATTACATATATGTAGGTACGTACTGAATACTCAGGTGGTACTCCATAAGCGTGTGTGTTGATGTGTGTTAGATGAATTGCTAAATGATCTTATTAATAAAAAACCTGGAGCTAGATATTGGGGTAAAAACTGAGAGATCAAAGAAGCAGAAAGAAGCCAACCATTTCTTACTGCTAGGAAATTCTCAGCCCAAAGAATCCTCAGCCCTGTATACTCACACCTATATAACTTTCTGTGCCCTACCATCTCACTTTCTCTCTCCACCCAGCTAATCACTTCCTCTTTCTGCCCAGCTCTATCACTTCCTGTCTTTCTGTACAGACCTCCAGACCTCTAGGGTTAACTAGTGCTGGGATTAAAGGCATGTGCCACCATGCCTGGCTCTGTTCCCAGTGTGGCCTTGAACTCTCAGAGATCCAGACAGATATCTGCCTTCCTGATAGGATTAAAGGCATGTGCTACCACTGCCTGACCTCTTTGTTTAATATAGTGACTGGCTTTTTCCTCTGATTCCCAGATAAGCTTTATTGGGGTGCACAAATAAAATATCACCACAGATGTGTCTGTTTTAAAAGGTAGTTGTAAAAGGCAGTGCTTTCCAAAGTTGCACGGTGGCTTTCTTCCCAAGCTCTTATCTTCCTCCTCAAACTTTGGTGGTCTCCACTTCTGCACTGCCTGGGCCCTGGTGCCTGCAGGCTTCTAGGAGTTGGAGTCCCTACACTGACACACCAGTGCCTAAGTTTCCTGAGTTATAGGGGAACTGAGAATATATTTTCATAGCATAAAAACTTTTTGGTTCAAGTATAAAGTATCTTTTTATCTTTAGCAAAACTGAATTAGACAGCTGTGAGCTCATCAGAGGGAAGAGACTGGAAATCTTTTTAAGCCCTAAGTACTTTTGTAGTGGACAGCACTCCTGATTGCTGTCTTGGGACCTTCACCTTTATCCTTATATTCTTGTTATGGAAAAATGCCTCCAGGGTTAAAAAATAAACAGCATAAAATTAACTTTTAAAATACAATGTCAACAACCTTTAAATGTGCAGGTACAAAATCAAATTTCCACTTTTTTGTTGCAATGAGGAGGAAATGTGGAGTAGAATTTGGGGTGGCCTCCTCACCTGATGGCTTTAGCTGCTGTTATGGTTGAGAGCGAGGGTGGGCTGCTCTCTACTGAGCACTGCATTTCCCAGCCAGGTTGGAGGTTTGGGAAAGCTTATCTCCCCTTTGCTTTTGGCTCTTGCTCTGGATGTCACCTTGGTATTCTCCCTGCAGTATTACAGCTGTGGCAGAAGGGCCACCATACCCCCAGGAACTAGCTTGGCAATTGAGCATCCATGGTAACTCCTCTGGACATAATGCCATCTTTGTTGTTAAGGAACTGGGGTTCCTCCCTACTCTGCAGGGAGCCAGTATCAGACAGTTTCATGGATGACCAGAGAGTAGGGATTGACTCTGTGTGCTTTTGATTTTATCTCGGGCATATTGCTCATGTCCTGAATCGAGATGTATGGCTAGGGAGCTGGGGTGATACTCTTGTGAGGAAAGTTCCCTGTAAGCATGAGGACCTGAGCTTGATCCCTAGACCCTGACTTACAAAGCTGGTTGTGGTGGCTCATACTTGAAATCCCAGCCATGGTGAGGTGTAAGGCAGAGATAAGGGGATCCCTTAGTCTTTCTAGCCAGCAGACTAGCTAACTTGGTGATCTCTAGGGCAGTGAGATGGTTTTGACCTGAGACTACCTAGATAAGTCCTTAAGCCACATATCCATAGATAGATAAACTCTCAGCCAGGGTCTCTCCTGTGGCCTGGCCACTCCCCTGACAACTGCAGAAGAATGTTGCTGTTGTATTCTATATACACATAGAAACCAAGACCCAAAGGTGGATGTGTACCAGCATCCCCCCCCCACACACACACACACTGACACAGAGTCAGGTCTTTTGTGTATCTATAATGCTTTTTTGATCATTGCTTTAAATTGCAGTGTGGTTAGGACTGAAACAACGGCTTTGGCTGCTGCCTCCACCCATCTCAGCTTTTCAACATGGTGCAGACACTGAGTCATGCTTACCTCCCCAATTCTTGGAAGCAGTATTAAGCAGTAAGACTGTGTTTTTCAGTTTGTGGCTGTGCTCCCAAGCCCGGAGGTAGTGCCTGGGAGAAGCCTCTTTGTATTGCTGCCCGGCCCTTCAGAGACCACAGGAGGCCTCCATGTTGCTGCTGCAGCCTGCTGCAGCCAGGGGACGTGTCTCTGTCCTGCAGCCCACCATGAGTGACATGAATTAGGAAGCTGTGCTCGGCTCCATTTTAGAGCCCTTTTTAAAAGCTTTCTCAGGGTTTTTGGGTGGAAATTCTTGCCTCACATTGGGCGCCAAAATGTAGCCAGAATTTTCTCCAGTCCCACCCAGCCCTGTGGTCTGTGTTTCGCTGGTCCCACCTGGCCTGCAGCCACTTATAAAATAATCATTCAGAAGTTTATATTAATTACCAGTTGTATGGCCTATGGCAGGCTTCTTGCTAGCTAGCTCTTATAACTTAATCCATTTCTATTAATCTGTAAGTTGCCACGTGACCATGGCATTCCCGGTCTGCTGCCATCATACTGCTCCTTTGGCGGCAGCTGGCTTCTCTCCAGAATCTGCCCTTCTTTCCTCTGTCCCTCCACTTGGATTTCCCGCCTGACTGTAAGCTTTCTTGCCATAGGCCAAAACAGCTTTATTTACTAACTGATGGGAACAGCATATATTCACAGCATACAGAAAGACATCCCACAGTACTTCCCCTTTTCTGTCTAATCAAAAAGGAAGGTTTTAATTTTAATATAGTAAAATTATATGTAACAAAGCAGTTATCATGCAAAAATTATAGTTATAATATCTAGTTTATTATATTTGGCAAAATTAGAAAATATTCTGCCATCTATTCTACTTTGTGAGTCTAAAGTTTTATATCTAATTTATCTTTTATCATGACTAAGGACAGCTATAATTATAATTATTTAGTCTCCAACTACTTCAAAGACCCCAGAAGGATATAATATTACCTAAGTAAACAGGAAGTGCATTGTAAGCAACTTCCAAAAATACATGCATGTAGTCGGTCTGTACCAGGGGGTTATTTTAGGAAACTGGCTGATATGATTGTGGAAGTTCATCAGCTCCATCATCTATAAGGTATCCTGCAGACTAG